TGCCAGGTCAGACGGTTGCTGTGACATGAGGGACAGACCCCAGGACAGGCACACGCAGTTTTGTTTTGCATGCACTCCACACCACTGAAGTGAATAACAGACCTATTAATGTGCACTCAGGGCTGCGATTGGACACAGCTGCTTCCTCACCCTCAACCTCGCTGGCCTAGAAACCAAACCTTTCACTTCAGGGTGTTAAGAGACCTTAATGATGCTGAATGCCTAACCGAACTTTGGTAGCAAGTTCGTATTGTATTTCATCAAAAGTGTGCTTTTAGCTGTTCGTTCTGCAATTACAGGGGGGCAAAGTACCGTAAGTTTTAAATAAGGCACATGTGTCTGTGAAGCAGATTCATGTAACTCCTCCCCTGACCCATTTTGGCTCTTCTTGATGAAGAAAGGAGACCAGACATAGACATGCCTGGCAGTGGCCCCTAACTGCAACAGAGAAAGGATAAGATAAAGGCAGTTAGGCTTACTGAGCAGACACTCGGCTCCAACTTTGTTAGAAACACTTCCTATGACTTGTACGATGACTCCTCCTTACAGTCTTCTGCATATATTCCCAGTCCCACAGGTCATGACATGAACAGAGCCTCTGAATACTTCTGATAGGTCCACAGGCCACTGTGACAGGAATTTGAACTCTTGGAGTGGTCCTTCTGAGCACTGAGGTCAAGATGCTGTACACATCATGTGCTCTTCTACCAGACACCCATGGAGCCCCGAGTACATACCAGCCTCAGTAGGTGTGGTGGCTTTGTTTCCTGACTAGGGGGTGCAAAGGCCTTAGCTGCTAAAGACAGATTCATTTGTGGTAAGGAGCACAGCGCTTGAGAACCGCTCTCCTGCGAGGCAGAAAGGGTTCCTTTCCTCCTGCTGACTTAGATCACTGGGCTTGCCCATCCCAGAAGGTGTCTGTCACCTCCTGGGCTTTGGGGGAAACTAAAGGAGCCTCTTAGGAAGAGGTCCAGTCTCAGGCCTAAGGGGTATAGAGCTGTAAGCGCTCAGCCAACAACCTCGGATGAGAGTGTGGGTACTGATGTTAGAGGGGTGCTTGTCTGCATGAATGGAGTACATGTGAACTTGTTACCGCTCTGCCCATGTCCTCTGCATCCACTCATCCTAAGATGCACCTGTGCCTGTTCCCCAGGTCAGTCTCAGTAAGCACCAGGTGAGATGCTCCTTGGCCTCGAGGGAAGCCCTACCTAGGTGCTGAGCAGATTATCGTGGCAGCACCCCCCAACAAGCCGCAGTGTTCCAAAGTGACCTTGGCCCTCGGTAGCTCTAGCTCCCACTCCATGTCTTCTGTGTGCAGCTGGATTAAAATGGACTCACACTAGCTCTTGGTCGATTCTGCTTGGGAGGGCTGTTTCCATCTGAAGCTGACCAGAAGCCTGCCGATGATGGCGGTTTCATATACTTTCCAGAATCATCTAGGTGCATGTGGGAACAATTCATTCTCTCCAGGGTTTTACAGGGTCAGTGGAGTGGAGGAATTTTGTATTCAAGGTGGGTGGGGAGGTGGTAAAGGAGGAAGTTTGCTGCAGGAGTCTTAGAACATAGACCGTGACAGTGGGAATCTTGGTTCTGTAGGAGGGCAGTAGACTATTCTGCATCACCCAGGCTAGCTTGACCTCAGAATCCCTGCTTGTCAGATGTTCTGGAACTGGTGTTTCTTAGGATGGCAGCCATAGAGAACTCAGGCAGCGGGCCTTCCCTGCAAAGTCCAGGCCCACCACTTCCTGTTCTCTAGAACAACGGGCTTCACTTCCTATGGCCTCTGCCTCCTTGTCTGTGAAATATAAACAATACTCTTCATTGCCGTATGGAATGTATGCCAGCTCTCATTACCATTTACCCAGCTCCCTCTATTAATAATATAAGTCCCTCCCACACACATCTACTGCATGTATCCCCAAAGGCTCGGTTCTTTTTTGAACTAGGAAACGACTGAGCCAGGAAATAATATAGAGATCTTGACTTTGGGGGAATACTCAACAGTTTCCAGTTTAAATTATCTGTCTAGTCAGTGTGGCCACCGAGTCATTGCTAAAATTGAAATGTTGACTTTGACTAAGGGCGAAAAGGAAAAGGGACAGTGGCAAGAATGATTCTGGTGTCCATCTAATGTGGACAGGTCGGTGTAGAAAATGTCAGGCTACAGTACTATGTAACAGTAGTCATCAAACATTTAAAATCCGGGTCTCCTGGATGTATGCTGTGGACAGAATGGAGAGGGTGGATAGTCCCTGTCTAGGATGAAAGGAGAAAGCCATAGAAAGAAGAAGGCAAGGCTTCCTTTATGGGGAGGAAAGGTGGGCCGGTTTTCTGCTAGTTCACAGACAACAGAAGGCTTGGTTGTAAACAGACTAATAAAACCCAGGAAGGCTGCGAATGAATGAGCCCCCTCCATGTAGAAAGGAGATGCTGAGCTGCCTGCCCCTCCACGGACAGCCCTCACCGATCAGACAGGGAGGCTGCAAGTGGCTCTGGCCAGTGGCCCTCCCCCCACGGGCCGTCCCCTTTTCCACACCCCCTCAACGGTCGAGAGCTCGTGGTCTTAGTAACAGAGGACTTCTGACTGTAATCCTAGCGCGTCACTTTGTTGAAGGCAAACACGTGGTTTGGGGAGCATTTATAAATCTCTGCTCCGGGCAGGATCGTGATGTTATCTGCTGGCAGCAGAAGGTTTGCTCCGAGCAGAGCGGCCGACGCTGTGGGCCAGAGAGCCCGGGCGAGAGAGTGAGAGAACAAGCAGAGAGCTGAGCCCTAGGGCAGGCGACAGGGATGAAGAGTGGAAGCATTAGGGTTTACGGAGCCGTCCTGAAGCAAGCGGGCTGCAGAGAGGAGTAGGTATCAGCAGAGGTCTATTTTAGGGTCGCCAGTACCTTCTTACCCTAACCGAGAAAGTGCAAGCTTGCTGGAAGGCAGGAGAGGCTGGGGAAGGGTGCGGGTCTCCGAGGCGCCCCGCAGCCCGCCCGCCCAGGAGGCGGTGTTGTTCCGCAGTGGGTGAAGGAGGTGGCCGATCTCTGTCGCCCGGTGGCCGCCTGGAGCAAGAGGAGGAGGATCTGCAGGACGGAGCTGGAGCCTAACCCCCTTTGCAGGCATCAGCGGCGGCTGCAACGTGGAGCGACCCAGCCGGGTGTAGGCCACAGCGCGGCCGCAGGAGCAGGATCGTCGCTGCCTGCTCCGGTCTTGGCGGATCTCTGGGGCGGACAGTACCCCACCGAGTCCCCGAGTGAGCCGCGCCGGGGCGCATCTGCCTCCCCGCGGCTCGCCAGGCTCGCCCTCGGCGCGCGCACACACACGCACGCGCGCACACATCCACACGCACACTCATCCACACACGTGTGGAAGGCAGGCCCGAGCCGCTCGGTCTTTGAACATCTCAGTTAGAGCCCGGCGCAGCCCCGGCCGCCGCTCTGCGCTCTCCGCGGCCCTGCGCGCCTCCTGCCAGTCCCCGGACCTTCTCGTCTCTTCCCTTTTGGGCGAAGGATCCGAGTTCAGATCCGCCACTCCGCACCCGAGCCTGACACACTGAACTCCATTTCTTCCTTTTAAGTTTATTTCTACTTCAGAGCCACTCACTCCCTCCCTTCCTGGGGGGAAAACAAACCTTACTCCTTAAAGTGAGAACCCCCTCCCCACGCTTGAGCATCGCATATTACTGTCTCCACGTTGGGAACGCGCTGCATTTTCTTTCTTTCTTTTTTTTTTAAAGGAATCACAGCCAGGGACGTTTTTCTATCTGGCATTGACTTTCGATTGCTTTGCAAAAGTTTCGCATTAAAAAAAAAAAAACCAAAATCAAAAAAAACTTTACCTGACTTGCTCTGAGAATTATTGGTTTCTTTTTATAGTTTTTTTTCTTACTTTAAACAACAACAACAGCAACGTTCCCACCTTTTAAAAACATGCACTACTGTGTGCTGAGAACCTTTTTGCTCCTGCATCTGGTCCCGGTGGCGCTCAGCCTGTCTACCTGCAGCACCCTCGACATGGACCAGTTTATGCGCAAGAGGATCGAGGCCATCCGCGGGCAGATCCTGAGCAAGCTGAAGCTCACCAGCCCCCCGGAAGACTATCCTGAGCCGGACGAGGTCCCCCCGGAGGTGATTTCCATATACAACAGTACCAGGGACTTACTGCAGGAAAAGGCAAGCCGGAGGGCAGCCGCCTGCGAGCGCGAGCGGAGCGACGAAGAGTACTATGCCAAGGAGGTTTATAAAATCGACATGCCGTCCCACTTCCCCTCCGAAAGTAAGTACGGTTTCCATGGTTTTCGCCTTTTCCATCCCCAAGTCTAAGGTTGGCCCGGAGCTCCTCAGACCCACAGCAGCCCTAGGCGTTCGCCCTTTCCTCTCCGAGTTCCCAGGTGCCGATCGTCCCCTTTCCATTCTGTCCTTCGCTCCTTCCACCTCCTTTCCAGTCGTGGGATGGAGATCCGCAGGTTTTATTTTTTCTCTATAATTCCCTTCCCCCAAACGCCTCAGTCTTTAAAAAAAAAAAAAGTTTAGATTTCTCCCTCTTCCCTGGTCCACCAACTAGGGAGTCAGCTCCCTTCTGTCAAAAGGAAAGCGCTTTTTCCGGATGACTTTAGGCTAGGGGGACCTTGATAGACTTGTTTTCTTTGCTGGGTAGGCGCGGGGTGGGGGGTGGGGGTGTCCTCCAACCAGTACACAAAGAGTTAAAAAAAAAAGTGCCTTCAAGCTAGCCTTCCCAAAGGCACCCCCTTTCCGTGCTGACCTATTTGGGGGCTCCCCAAGCCTTTGCTATTGTTTCTCACTGCCCTAAGAATGTCAGCATCACCAACACCAAACGCGCGCAGGGGGTTGGGGGGGGGGCGACGGCACAACACTGAAAACCCCTTCAATCCTCGATCTTCTAGTGCTCTCTGTAGGTGTCTTCACACCCCTCCCCTCGCAAAACCATGTCGCCGAGTCCCCTTCTGACCTCACTTGGAGAGTAGAAAGGATAAATACAGTTCTAACTGGGCTGAAGTAGGTTTCACTTCCCGTTCTGTTTTTCTAGCTAGCCCTCACTAGGCTGAGAACAGGTCATTTTTCTTAGGGGATTCTCCGCTATCCTTTTCAACCTTGAACTCTGCTCCAGCACCTTCTTAAGCAGTGGGGACTCCTGTGCATTCTATTCTGAAATAGAATCTAGAAAAGACAGCTCATTTTTCTAAAAAATATTTTTACCCTGTTTCCCTGCGAGCAGTATCCTCAAAGCAGCTGGCATACAGTAGCGGTGATTTATTGTGGAGCTCTTTGCGGGGAAGGGAAGAAGTACAGTTAGTGTAGTTTTATTTCAGAGTTCTTTAAAACAGGGAGAAGACGAGAGGAGAGAGAGCGATTGAGACTGCAGCAGCAACAGCATTGAGTGATTACCTGAGAGGGTTAAACACCAGAAGAAACACTAAAAGAAAAAATAAAAACTTCAGCATCCCTGTGTTCCAAGTCCCCGTCGTAAACTTTTCATTGGCTGATCCTTTCTCTCCTCCCCCTTTCATGCCCTATATCCTCTCTGGCTGCCTTTGTGAAGTCCCCCTGTCTTGCCTAAATAGATAATGCAGCCATCTTGGTAATTTTATCCCAGAAGTTAGAATTGCAGGGTGGTGCTTTCTCTTCTAATATTTATTTTTAGTTTGACGAGCCGTAGCTAGTCAGCTTGCCTTGTCTTGCACTTGGTGTCCTCAGAGTGTCTACCCACACTCTTTCTGGTCACTTTTCTTACCTTGTAGTGTCTCTTGTTTCATGGCGTAACAGATGCAGGGAACCCTGCCCAGCAGGATGATTTTATTATTATAATTATGGTCCTAACCACCACAGTGGCGACACTTACACTCTGCCCTGTTTATTCCCCCTGGGAAGTAAAGCTTTCTATCTGGGGTGAAGCCATAGCGAGGCTAGTGAAGAGAGTTCATTGTAATTAGCCCAGAACCATTGAGGCTGGGAGAAGGGTTGAGTCAGTTAGCTTTCTCTTGCGTGTGTGTGTGTGTGTGTGTGTGTGTGTGTGTGTGTGTGTGTGTGTGTGTTGATTCTACCGTATTTGGGCTGACAGACAAGTATGTTATAGGGGGCCGAACAAGTCCTCCTTCCATGTTCAGTTGCAAAAGCTCAGATTAGCTGCCAGGTTGTTTGCAGAGACAGAAGATCCAGTCTCATGTTGTGTAGGTATGGAAGGAGCCAAGGAGGCACTTCAGTTTGATGGATGAAGGTGAGCAGAGACAGAAGATCCAGTCTGTGTAGGTGTGGAGGGAGTTAGCCAAGGGAGCACTTCAGTCTGATGGATGAAAGTGAGCAAAAACAGGACAACCCAGGACCATGGTCATGAACAAATCAGAAATATTCCCCGGGATATCAGGAGGACTTGAGAGTATCATCTAAGATTAATGTGTGGCTTCTCATCTCTAATCCCACCCCTGAGCCTTCAAATAAATGAAAACCTAAAAACTACATACTTGTGCACGCACACACACACACACACACACACACACACACACTATATATATATATATATATACACACACACATATGCTATCATATTTTCACATGAAAAATAGATTTAAAAAAACCTGTGTTAAGTGTAGACACTTAGAAGTAGAATGTCATATTAATAGTAGATTCAACACAACTGTGCAGGGACTGTGGATAATTTTATAGAAAGTAGGTTAACTGATTTTCCAGGACTAGGAAGTCCTGGAATATAGTGAGAGCTTCCAGAAAAGAAAAAAGAAAAAAAGAAAGGGAAAGAAAAAAGAAAAGAACGAAAATCATTCCATTGTATTTTTAAAGCAAAGAAACCTGGAAGTGTGACCAGGGCTGGCTTATGTATGTGCCAGCTTTCCCTCTTCAGCACTTTCTGCCTGACTTGGGACTGGGCTGTCGCTGTGGTGCCTGAAAGGAGAGTGTGTGCCTGTTATGTCTTGCTGTGACTCTGAAGAGGGCCCTAAGTGCATAGAGGAAGGCATGGGAAAGATCACCGCTTTTTTTTTTTCTTTTCTTTTTTCCCTCACCAACTTATTAGTGTTCGGGGAGTGACTTCAGCTCAAGTATTACAAATACGCCCTAATTATACTCAGTGACTGTATATCACTACAGATGGTTGATAGCCCTTGGTGGGACATTTTATGAAGTTCAAACTCAATATTTTTAGCAATGTGGAGATTTAAAAGTGAAAATATAAGAGATATTGTATATGCCCTCAGGCATACTTTGTCTTAAATATTATCCTTGGCCAAGTGTGCTGTATAAATAAAGTAGATATTAATAGAACTGGCCAGGTGCCAAGCTCCTAGTATGAATTTTAGCCAAGAATGTATTTATGGGGGTATAAATAATACTATGTCAACATTTAAAGAAGGGATCTGATTAGTTTTGAATTTCTTCATATTGATCTTTTCGCATACTGTTAGTTTAAGACGAAAAGCAGAGTTGTGCTGGAGTTTACTGATAGCTTGCCCACCAGGAATTAGTGGATGTCGAACACTTTGACTATCCCTTTGAAGTTCAAGGTGCAGATATTCAAAAGACACCGTACAAGGCTTCAGAAATTCTGAAAAAAGTGACTCTATTACATCTAAGAAGAATCTAAACTGATATTAAAACCTGTAGAGACATGATGGGTAAGAGGAAGTAATTTTCTTTCTTTTTTTTTTTTTTGTCTATTTTTGTTTGTTTGTTTTAAGTCTGAGGCTTTCCATTTGCAAGGAAGCAATCCCTACCACTGAGCTATATCCCAAACCCTGTTTTGTTAAGAAGGGCCTCATGATATGGCTCAAGCTAGCCTTAAACTTGTCATATAGTCTAGGCCATCCTCAAACTCATGACCCTCAGGTCTCATCTTCCCTAGTGCTGGGACTGTAGGAGTTGACCACATGCTTGGCTCTCCTCTCTGCTATCTTCACAGCAAAGCAGGCATGTGTTGTAGGTCTGACTCTGGCTCTGTTGTATCCCGCCCCTCCCTCTCCCTGCCTCTGCTGTGACAACTGATAACGCCCGGATAGTTTTCATAGTCTTGAGGTGGAGGGGTGGGGCTGCTGGTCTTCATTAGATAGAAGCCAGGGATATTCCTATTCTCTCATAATGAAGAGGCAGCCTACCCACCTTCTCCATATACCAGAGAATTATCCAGCCTCGAATTTCAACATGGCCCATGGTAGGAAGCCACAGTTCCCCGATGTTGAGCTTGGGCTGCTGAATCCTGCTCCTAATACTGTTTTAAAAGTAATGGCAACAATAAAGTATCTTTATGATCTAAAGATATTAAAATAAAATAATCAAGTAGAGAATAATCATAATAGAATATGAGCTAGGCCATTTTGTATGGCATATACTTTATCATTGTGATACTGGAGCTCCTACATTAGAGACAATCAAGCTTCCCATTCATTGACCTTCAGTAACGGGGTTGGTCCCTCATTTACTAGGAATGCTAGTTAGTATCATTTCAGATGCCAGGCAGCACATAGAAAAAAAAAAAGAATAGAAGAATGATCCTGGATTTTCCAGTTTGAGTGGACTCTGCAACTTGGGCAAGCAAAGGAAGTTGATAGCCATGTTGGCTTATCCAGCTCTTAGAATTAGGTGGATTGAAGTATATGGCCTGGAAAACCACAGTTAGGTTTCCTTTGTAATTCTTTCACATGAAGGCTAAACATTTAATACTAAGCAATTCTCCTTTTCTGGTACCCCTGTAATTTTCCAAGTGAAATTGCGGGATGTAGACTGAATAGCAACGACATGATGGTTTTGAGGAATGTGACTTAGCATTCAATTCATGAATCTGTCTCTCTGTATACAGACTGCTGGTCTATTGGGCCAACTGCCCAATTAAGGAGAATATTAGCAGAACACAGTAGTAGCTTTACTGTAAGATGTATTTTTACCTTCTCTCCTGAGAGAGTCTCTGTATGTTTGTGTATGAATATGTGGTGGGGGTGGGGTAGGGGGTTGGAGAATAAAGACTGGCTTGGACTTCTTGACTTCCAGAATGACTGTTAAAGTGCACAACAGACCAGACGTTAATTCCCTCTTTTTATGGCATTGTGGCCAGCACTACCTCTAATGCCTAACTGTGGTTACACTTGAGTTCCTCTGCATTGCATTCCTGCAAGATTTCCTTCATTTTCACTTTGCAGACTAGGCAAGAGAAGCCTCATATTAAAACACGGTTTATAGCTGAAACAGGTAGGTAGTTTTTGTTGCCAAGGGAGGCTGCCGCCTCCTCTGAGTAGACTTCCATGTTTTAAAGGCTGG